CAAAATCATTTCATTGATTACATAAAATTTTGTGGCAGATAAAGTCAGTAAATTATATGAAGAATTACAATGAGCTACAGACAGTAAATTATCAATTTAATGAGCTACAGACAGTATATTATCAATTTAATGAGCTACAGACAGTATATTATCAATTTAATGAGCTACAGACAGTATATTATCAATTTAATGAGCTAACAGTATATTATCAATTTAATGAGCTACAGACAGTAAATTATCAATTTAATGAGCTACAGACAGTATATTATCAATTTAATGAGCTACAGACAGTATATTATCAATTTAATGAGCTACAGACAGTATATTATCAATTTAATGAGCTACAGACAGTATATTATCAATTTAATGAGCTACAGACAGTATATTATCAATTTAATGAGCTACAGACAGTATATTATCAATTTAATGAATTACTGACAGTCTAGCTATCCCAAAAAAACCAAACTTCCCCATTTTCAGGAGACCATGATGCTTATACATAAATTAATGACGTAGGGCATTGATTTGATTTAGTAGAAATTCTCTTCTAAAAGCAAAATTTAAAAAAATACAAAATCCAGGAAGCACCAATATCATCTAGGGCGAAATGTGCATTACGACACACTGCCATTTCCCCACAATTGAAAATGGCGGTTAGATTTTAGGACGAGGTAAGTAATACTATAGATATAATGTAGGCTTCTAACCTGATCAGATTGTTTAACATGAGATTGTATAGGCATCCTGTTCCCAGGTGGACAAAACCTTGTACATGAAGGTGAGCAATTCCTTTGCTAACACAATATTACTGCTCATGTGCAAAAGCTAATTACATACAATTCAAAGTCATCTCTCATGTGCTGCTTACATACAGCTAATGAGCTTCTCATGTGCTGCTTACAAACAGCTTAAGAGCTTCTCATGTGCTGTTACACACAGCTAATGAGCTTCTCATGTGCAGACGTTAGTAATTTTGTATCGGTTAGTATTCAGAAATACAGAAACATAATTCAATCAAATAGATGTATTAAGGTACAAACGCTGTTTAAATCTTGTTAATTATTTCAATGTCTAAATTATATTAACAGATTTTACATTAACAATCAATGTTAAAATTTCATCGATAATTATCTCTTTTCCTTGTATTAATTCACACTAAATTACACGCAAAATTTCTGTTTTTCTAAAAAAAAACCTAAATAATGCTGAAAATTATTCAAAATTACTATATAAAATATGTACAACATATTTTATTTATATTAAAAAAATGCATAATATATATATTTATGTTTCAAAATCCATTGTGATGTGACATTATGCAATCATGGTTATATAATTGTCTCCCTTTGACAAGCTTCATTCTGATTACTAAAACAACTGAGTATTATTTATAAAACATTTTAAAGCCCAAATCTTACCGAATAATTGTATCCTACTTATAATTGAATTGATCTAAAATCATTTTCAAACTTAAATAAATCAGAATAAACTTTTTAAAAATGTCCAATCTCTAAACCTAATGTTGCTTAATTACAAATTTAAAACTCTATAAAAAATTAACTGAAGTTTAACACCATATAATGTAAGAGTTCATCAACATCCAAACTCCCATTTGAAGCAAATTTACAGCTGTGGCCGCAAGCCAGAGAGGCTTTAGCACCAACAATAGGACATTGTAGAATCATCAATTTTTATGATTATTTTGTATCTGTTTAAGGGACTACAATACATTGTCTGTGGATCACCACACAACATCAGGTCCAAAGTGTGTGTTTGATCCTTCCCTGGGGATGTTTCTCAGGAGAATAAAACCAGGTACCACCTTGTAGTGGTTGTGGCTTTAGGTAAGAATCTTCACTCTAATTGTTCTGTATATATTAAGATATCCCCAAACACAGCAGTATAAAAGGGCAGATATCATAGATTTCTATATCCCCAAACACAGCAGTATAAAAGGGCAGATATCATAGATTTCTATATCCCCAAACACAGCAGTATAAAAGGGCAGATAACATAGATTTCTATATCCCCAAACACAGCAGTATAAAAGGGCAGATATCATAGATTTCTATATCCCCAAACACAGCAGTATAAAAGGGCAGATATCACAGATTTCTATATCCCCAAACACAGCAGTATAAAAGGGCAGATAACATAGATTTCTATATCCCCAAACACAGCAGTATAAAAGGGCAAATAACATAGATTTCTATATCCCCAAACACAGCAGTATAAAAGGGCAGATAACATAGATTTCTATATCCCCAAACACAGCAGTATAAAAGGGAAGATATCATAGATTTCTATATCTCCAAAGTGGAAGGACATCAACAGGTGGTTACTCTCTGATGAGGAGTCTAGATCACACAAGGACATTAACAGGTGGTTATTGTCTGATGAAGAGTCTAGATCACACAAGGACATCAACAGGTGGTTATTGTCTGATGAGGAGTCTAGATCACACAAGGACATCAACAGGTGGTTATTGTCTGATGAGTGAGGAGTCTAGATCACACAAGGACATTAATATGTGGTTATTGCCTGATGAGGAGTCTAGATCACACAAGGACATTAACAGGTGGTTATTGTCTGATGAAGAATCTAGATCACACACGGACATTAACAGGTGGTTATTGTCTGATGAGGAGTCTAGATCACACAAGGACATTAACAGGTGGTTATTGTCTGATGAGGAGTCTAGATCACACAAGGACATTAACAGGTGGTTATTGCCTGATGAGGAGTCTAGATCACACAAGATGCTGTCAACTATCTAGATAGAGTCTGGACCTACAATAATTTTTTATCATATTTTATGAAAACACAAAAATGAAAATAAAAAAGTGCAAAATTTGCAGAAAATTTTGTTGGCAAGTTATCATTCGCAATCAAGGTAAAATCAAGGGACCACCGGAGCAAGTACTTAACAGTTAATGTCAAGTCCTGGTATTTAGAAATAATCACATTTATTTAGGATATGAATGTGTGGAACACAGATAAAAGGCAATTTGACACAGCCAGTCAATCACTTAATAATGGAAGGCTCAAAAACAAAACAAAAATCATGTCCGCAGCCTGATGAAATAATGTATGGCACTTTATAGATGGACAATAAAAGTCCTATTTGAAGTTTGGACTAAAACTTACTTTGGAAACTTACTCCTTAACCTTTCCAAATATTCATATGGCAATTCAAAACTTTTCACTGACACTGATATTTCATACCGTCCCTCTTGAAATTTCCAAACATTTAACCGACACTGATATTTCATACCATCCCTCTTGAAATTTCCAAACTTTTCACTGACACTGATATTTCATACTGTCCCTCTTGAAATTTCCAAACATTTAACCGACACTGATATTTCATACCGTCCCTCTTGAAATTTCCAAACATTTAACCGACACTGATATTTCATACCGTCCCTCTTGAAATTTCCAAACTTTTCACTGACACTGATATTTCATACCATCCCTCTTGAAATTTCCAAACTTTTCACTGACACTGATATTTCATACTGTCCCTCTTGAAATTTCCAAACATTTAACCGACACTGATATTTCATACCGTCCCTCTTGAAATTTCCAAACTTTTCACTGACACTGATATTTCATACTGTCCCTCTTGAAATTTCCAAACATTTAACCGACACTGATATTTCATACCGTCCCTCTTGAAATTTCCAAACATTTAACCGACACTGATATTTCATACCGTCCCTCTTGAAATTTCCAAACTTTTCACTGACACTGATATTTCATACCATCCCTCTTGAAATTTCCAAACTTTTCACTGACACTGATATTTCATACTGTCCCTCTTGAAATTTCCAAACATTTAACCGACACTGATATTTCATACCGTCCCTCTTGAAATTTCCAAACTTTTCACTGACACTGATATTTCATACTGTCCCTCTTGAAATTTCCAAACATTTAACCGACACTGATATTTCATACCGTCCCTCTTGAAATTTCCAAACTTTTCACTGACACTGATATTTCATACTGTCCCTCTTGAAATTTCCAAACATTTAACCGACACTGATATTTCATACCGTACATCTTGATATTTTCAAACATTTAACCGACACTGATATTTCATACCGTACATCTTGATATTTTCAAACATTTCACTGACACTGATATTACATACCACACAATTTGACATTTCCAAACATTTCGCCGTCTGTGACATTTCGTACCATACATCTTCATATTTTCAAACATTTAACCAACACAGATATTTCATTCTGTACATCTTCCCATTTCCAAACATTTGACTGTCACAGACATTTTCAACCGTACTTCTTGATATTTCCAAACTTTTCACCAACAAAGAAATTCCATACCACACAATTTGGCATTTCCAAACATTTCACTGTCACAGACAATTTAAACCGTACATCTTGACATCCCTGAACATTTCACTGTCACAGACAATTTAAACCGTACATCTTGACATCCCTGAACATTTCACTGTCACAGACAATTTAAACCGTACATCTTGACATCCCTGAACATTTCACTGTCACAGACAATTTAAACCGTGCATCTTGACATTTCCAAACATCTCACCAACACAACAGTTCGTTCATACTATACATTTCAACATTTCAAAATGTTCAACTGATACAGATATTTCATACCGTACATCTTGATATTTTCAAACATTTCACTGACACAGATAATTTATACCATACAATTTGGTATTTAAAAACATATCACACTGGCATTTCTAACACTTATTGTGACTCAGACAAATTCATAGACTCTCTAGTCATCAAACAATTTATATTTTCAGAGACAAATTAACAGTTAAACTGAAACTCAATCAAAAAACTTTATACAAAGAAAAATTTTCTTGAAGACTTCTAACGACTTACACAATTAAATCTTCAAATACAGAGAAAATAACTAAACGACTTTTAGTCAATCAGCAATTTCAGACTTTCAAATACACAAACAAAATTGGATACAATATTATTCTTCTCAGAAAATTTAAAACTTTAGATGATCCCTGAAAAATTAAAATCTTTGATGACACAAATACTTACAGACATCGTGTATGAAAACATATCTAAGAATAAAATTCTCTATAGATGAGAAAATCATGAAGACTTTTTATCTTTTTTCGCAGGCCATCCTCGGTAGAGCATAATACCAGTCGATATCATACCTAACACCCCATTTTGGGCCGGGGACAGTTTACCAGACCAAAGGAATCCTGGAGGCATCCAGCTAATGGCATTCATGAAATCAAAAAGACTTTGAAACAGTAGAAGATAAGCTTCACTAGATTTTGCCTTCAGGGCTTTCAACTGGTCTGACATCGCCTGGGACTGCTCTGTAATACCATTTCTGCAACAAAGAAATCAAGACACTGGAAAATATATACAATGTAAATATATATGCAATTTATGCTTTTTTTGAGGAGGGACAGGTGCTGGTCAGCACCTAGCTTGCTAAGAGTAGGCCAGCAAATTCTTAGGCCAGTTTGAAATATCCCTATACAATGAACAGCTCCATGTTAAATCCTTTTCTAACAATCTTAAAACAATAAATTGAAAGTTGTTGTAAAATCTTTTCATCACACCTTCAACAATGTTCTCAGGAATGTGAATTGAATAGGTTATGGTTGAGATTATGATAAAGCTATGTATGCATTATTGTGTTAGCTTTCCATTATCAGGGGAATTGATAGATTTATCTTTTCCCTACCAAAAAGCAGATAGTACATGCAAAGTACTGGAAAAAATCTTTCTTCGAAATCCTGAAACAAACTTCCATTTTGTCTACATATATAATCATGTGTATATATTCCATTTCAGATTTTTTTTATTATTCCTAATTTGAATACATCAATAAAATAAAAATTTCCCAAAAATAAACTCTTTCCTGTAGAACACTTAATCAAGAGAGTCCCCTCTGAATCGTTTTTTTACATTTGAGTTACTTGGCACAAGTCAAATATATTATGTAAATCTCATTTATTTATACCATAACAGATATTGTATCCATGTATCAGTGTCCACTACAAATCCAAATTGTCTCCCTTTATCTTTTGTTTTCCCGTTATACAAGTTCTGTTGTACAAGTACAGACCTCTCATTCGAAGCCTGTAGGTATTGTTCTTTCTTCACACCTTTCATCTCCATCTGAGCCAAACGGATCTTCACCAGATTCCTAAAGTTATAAATTAAAACTGTACATTCTCAAATAAAATGTTTAACTGTCTCGGAATTTTTTTTTAAATTAAAAAATGTTCACAATTGGTCTGATTCTGAGAATTTCTGAGAATCACTTCAGACCCAGAAACAAGGGAACAACCTGAAAAAAAAAGTCATACACCTTCAGCACTTTGGGTATTTTGTTCCCCCAACCTCCCAAAAAAATAATTAAAAGAAAAACCCAGGTTCATTTTTCATTCCTGCTTATAAAATGTTTCTGTCAAGAAAAAATTCATTACAGTCAGCAGTTATCAGGCTTTAATAAGAGATCCCTCCCAGAGATCTTTCGACCATATTGGTTGATGTTTATTTAATCATCGGTCAGGTTTCTGCCATTTTTCTCTTCTTTGCAATGTGTCTCATAAGCAAGTACAAGCATCAACAGAAAGCGTGATAACAAACTATCATTGTCAAACTCAAGATGGCCGCCTGTGAGCTATTTTGTTTTTCTGGTCAGTCGCTAAATCAAAAGGGTCACAACAAGAAACCATGGGGAATTTACATATAACACAAGAGTAGTTATCATGAAAGAAAAAACTTTCATCATCAAAATCCAAGATGGCCTCCTGCAAGCCATTTGGTTTTTCTGGTCAGTCTGAAAATGGAAAGGGCACAACTATAAAACATTCATACGAGCATGATCCATCAAGAATGAAATAACCATAATCAGGATTATCAAATAGGGCTGCCTACGCTGCAATTTGTTTTCTAATCAGTCTAAAGAATCAAGATTCTAATATGACCTATCCAGAATTTCCAAGAGAAATTTTCAAGAGAAAAAGTGAAAACAAAATATTATTGGCCATTTTAAACCTGAAAGTATTTTCTTATAACTTCCTAAATGTGCGACAGACAGATGGAAGGACGGAAGGACGGAAAGACAGACAGACAGATAGACAGACAGACAGCTAGCTAGACAGACAGACAGACAGATAGAGGGATGGACATGCTAATACATTGAGCTAAAAATAGACAAATCAACAATAAAAGAAATTTCATATAAATATTATGTGCAAAGCTCATTCTGAAAAAAACTTGAACATTAGTGTTCTATTGTGGAACCTTCAGATAAAAGACCTGACTATATAATATATACAGTACAACTAGGTCAACAGAACTGACTATATAATATATACAGTACAACTAGGTCAACAGAACTGACTATATAATATATACAGTACAACTAGGTCAACAGAACTAACTATATAATATATACAGTACAACTAGGTCAACAGAACTGATTATATAATATATACAGTACAACTAGGTCAACAGAACTGACTATATACAGTACAACTAGGTCAACAGAACTGACTATATACAGTACAACTAGGTCAACAGAACTGACTATATACAGTACAACTAGGTCAATAGAACTGACTATATATTATATACAGTACAACTAGGTCAACAGAACTGACTATATACAGTACAACTAGGTCAACAGAACTGACTATATATTATATACAGTACAACTAGGTCAACAGAACTGACTATATACAGTACAACTAGGCCAACAGAACTGACTATATACAGTACAACTAGGCCAACAGAACTGACTATATACAGTACAACTAGGCCAACAGAACTGACTCTATACAGTACAACTAGGCCAACAGAACTGACTATATACAGTACAACTAGGTCAACAGAACTGACTATATACAGTACAACTAGGCCAACAGAACTGACTCCAACAGAACTGACTATATACAGTACAACTAGGCCAACAGAACTGACTATATACAGTACAACTAGGCCAACAGAACTGACTATATACAGTACAACTAGGCCAACAGAACTGACTATATACAGTACAACTAGGCCAACAGAACTGACTATATACAGTACAACTAGGCCAACAGAACTGACTATATACAGTACAACTAGGTCAACAGAACTGACTATATACAGTACAACAGAACTGAGTACAACTAGGCCAACAGAACTGACTATATACAGTACAACTAGGCCAACAGAACTGACTATATACAGTACAACTAGGCCAACAGAACTGACTATATACAGTACAACTAGGTCAACAGAACTGACTATATACAGTACAACTAGGTCAACAGAACTGACTATATACAGTACAACTAGGTCAACAGAACTGACTATATACAGTACAACTAGGTCAAAAGAACTGACTATATACAGTACAACTAGGTCAACAGAACTGACTATATATTATATACAGTACAACTAGGCCAACAGAACTGACTATATACAGTACAACTAGGTCAACAGAACTGACTATATACAGTACAACTAGGCCAACAGAACTGACTATATACAGTACAACTAGGCCAACAGAACTGACTATATACAGTACAACTAGGCCAACAGAACTGACTATATACAGTACAACTAGGCCAACAGAACTGACTATATACAGTACAACTAGGTCAACAGAACTGACTATATACAGTACAACTAGGCCAACAGAACTGACTCCAACAGAACTGACTATATACAGTACAACTAGGTCAACAGAACTGACTATATACAGTACAACTAGGTCAATAGAACTGACTAGAAAATTACAAGCACCTGAATCTATAAACAAGTTACATTCCATTAGGTTGATAATTATTTTTTTGGGATGGTGACTCACAGGACTACAAGAAAATATTTTATAGTCCTGTTCGGTACTTTGTAGCCCTATTCAGTATTTTATAGCCCTGTTTGGTATTTTGTAGCACTGTTCAAAGGTTATAAAAGACGAGGGAATGAAATTGAAAGTGAGATTTATCCACCCTCCCGTTCTCTTCCACCCTCCCGTTCTCTTCCCGTTCTCTTCCACCCTCCCGTTCTCTTCCACCCTCCCGTTCTCTTCCCGTTCTCTTCCACCCTCCCGTTCTCTTTCCGTTCTCTTCCACCCTACTGTTCTCTTCCCGTTCTCTTCCACCCTTCCGTTCTCTTCTACCCTTCCATTCTCTTCTACCCTCCCGTTCTCTTCCCGTTCTCTTCCACCCTCCCGTTCTCTTCCACCCACCCGTTCTCTTCCACCCTCCTGTTCTCTTCCCGTTCTCTTCCGCCCTCCCGTTCTCTTCCACCCTCCCGTTCTCTTCTACCTTCCCATTCTCTTCCACCCTCCAGTTCTCTTCCACCCTCCCGTTCTCTTCCACCCTCCCGTTCTCTTCCACCCTCCTGTTCTCTTCCACCCTCCCGTTCTCTTCCATCCTCCCTTTCTTTTTCCACTACATTCTAATATCAGATTATGGAAACCAGCCAACTTGTTAAAAACATAAAGACAGAAACACATTGAAGTTACTATGGTTAGTATCTAGCAGTACATTAAGTGAGCATTTTATAACTATCAGAAGGGTCAGTATGTGTATACTTGATAATTTCTGTAAGTAAAGATGTCGCCCAGATCCTTAGTCCTAACAGCCAGAATTTGTTGGACTCCACGCTGATGATTTTTCTGTCTCCAAGCCAGGCGATGTGTTCAACAGGATAGTAGAGCTGGTTGACAAAGTTACTGATGAGCTGGAGTATGCGAATAGCAGTGACAGGCTCCTACAATTAAAAACAGGTATAATTAGTTTTGATTATTTATAATAATTTAAAAACAAATCAAATTAGTAATTTCCCTTGCCATATTATTGGCTCTTTACCTGATGTATTACCACCCTACAGACTACAGTAATATAATCATGTAAAGCTTGGCTAGAGAGAACTTCCATTTGATTAAGTTTTACACACAATTTTAGCATCGACTTAGAAATATTTTGCCAGCCTCAACAAGAATTTGTGCTGTTAGAGCAATATCAGAATTCCTTTCCTGGAAAATACTATCTGCCAAAATATGACAGAGGTCCCAAGTTTGATCCCCAGTCAGTGGAGGTCCCAAGTTCAATCCCCGGACAGTGGAGGTCCATAGTTCAATCCCCAGACAGTGGAGGTCCAAAGTTTTATCCCCGGACAGTGGAGGTCCTTAGTTCAACCCCAGACAGTGGAGGTCCTTAGTTCAATCCCCAGACAGTGGAGGTCCTTAGTTCAACCCCAGACAGTGGAGGTCCCAAGTTCAATCCCCAGACAGTGGAGGTCCCAAGTTCAATCCCCGGACAGTGGAGGTCCTTAGTTCAACCCCAGACAGTGGAGGTCCCAAGTTCAATCCCCGGACAGTGGAGGTCCCAAGTTCAATCCCCGGACAGTGGAGGTCCAAAGTTTGATGCCCGCACAGTGGTGGTCCAAAGTTTGATCCCCGTACAGTGGAGGTCCCAAGTTTGATCCCCAAACTGTTGAGGTCCCAAGTTTGATCCATGGACAGTGGGGATCCCAAGTTCAATCCCCAAACTGTGGAGGTCCAAAGTTTGATCACCAGACAGTGGAGGTCCTTAGTTCAATCCCCAGACAGTGGAGGTCCTTAGTTCAATCCCCGGACAGTGGAGGTCCAAAGTTTCATCCCCCGACAGTGGTGGTCCAAAGTTTGATCCCCAGACAGTGGAGGTCCCAAGTTCAATCCCCGGACAGTGGAGGTCCTTAGTTCAATCCCCGGACAGTGGAGGTCCTTAGTTCAACCCCAGACAGTGGAGGTCCCAAGTTCAATCCCCGGACAGTGGAGGTCCAAAGTTTAATCCCCGCACAGTGGTGGTCCAAAGTTTTATCCCCAGACAGTGGAGGTCATAAGTTCAATCCCCGGACAGTGGAGGTCCTTAGTTCAACCCCAGACAGTGGAGGTCCCAAGTTCAATCCCCGGACAGTGGAGGTCCAAAGTTTGATCCCCGGACAGTGGAGGTCCCAAGTTTGATCCCCAAACCGTGGAGGTCCCAAGTTTGATTCATGGACAGTGGGGATCCCAAGTTCAATCCCCAAACTGTTGAGGTCCAAAGTTTGATCACCAGACAGTGGAGGTCCTTAGTTTAATCCCCGGACAGTGGAGGTCCTTAGTTCAATCCCCGGACAGTGGAGGTCCATAGTTTGATCCCCGGACAGTGGAGGTCCTTAAGTTCAACCCCAGACAGTGGAGGTCCAAAGTTTGATGCCCGACAGTGGAAGTCCTTAAGTTTGATCCCCAGACAGTGGAGGTCCCAAGTTCAATCCCCGGACAGTGGAGGTCCAAAGTTTGATCCCCAGACAGTGGAGGTCCAAAGTTTGATCCACAGGCAGTGGAGGTCCCCAGTTTGATCCCCAGGCAGTGGAGGTCCCAAGTTCAATCCCCGGACAGTGGAGGTCCTTAGTTCAATCCCCGGACAATGGAGGTCCTTAGTTCAATCCCCTGACAGTGGAGGTCCAAAGTTTGATCCCCGGACAGTGGAGGTCCTTAGTTCAATCCCCTGACAGTGGAGGTCCAAAGTTTGATCCCGGGACAGTGGAGGTCCTTAGTTCAACCCCAGACAGTGGAGGTTCCAAGTTCAATCCCCGGACAGTGGAGGTCCTTAGTTCAATCCCCGGACAGTGGAGGTCCAAAGTTTGATCCCCGGACAGTGGAGGTCCTTAGTTCAACCCCAGACAGTGGAGGTCCCAAGTTCAAACCCCGCACCATGGAGGTCCTTAGTTCAATCCCCAGCCAGTGGAGGTCCTTAGTTCAACCTTGGACAATGGAGGTCCTTGGTTCAATCCCCCAGACAGTGGAGGTCCAAAGTTTAATTCCCGGACAGTGGAGGTCCTTAGTTCAATCCCCAGCCAGTGGAGGTCCTTAGTTCAACCTTGGACAATGGAGGTCCTTGGTTCAATCCCCCAGACAGTGGAGGTCCAAAGTTTAATCCCAGCACTGTTGGAGGTCCTTAGTTCAATCCCCAGCCAGTGGAGGTGCTTAGTTCAACCCCAGACAGTGGAGGTCCTTGGTTCAATCCCCCCGACAGTGGAGGTCCAAAGTTTAATCCCTGCACCGTGGAGGTCCTTAGTTCAATCCCCAGCCAGTGGAGGTGCTTAGTTCAACCTTGGACTGTGGAGGTCATTGGTTCAATCCCGTTGACAGTGGAGGTCCAAAGTTTAATCCCCAAACCATGGAGGTCCCAAGTTTGATCCCCAAACCAAGTTCAATCCCTGGACAGTGGAGGTCCAAAGTTTGATCCCCAGACAGTGGAGGTCTCAAGTTCAATCCCCGGACAGTGGAGGTCCAAAGTTTGATCCCCAAACTGTGCAGGTCCCAAAGTTTGATCACCGGACAGTTGAGGTCCTTAGTTCAATCCCCAGACAGTGAAGGTCCCAAGTTCAATCCCCAGACAGTGGAGGTCCCAAGTTTGATCCCCAAACCATGGAGGTCCCAAGTTTGATCCCCAAACCATGGAGGTCCCAAGTTTGATCCCCGTTAGTTGATGTCCTGAGTTCAATCCCCAGTTAATTGAGAATGTCAGTGGAGTTTCAGAGAATGTATGTAACACTATGTACAAGTCACATAGACCAATAAGATCTCACTGGACTTGGTTTACTGTTGGATTCGGGTCTTGTTTCCCTGCATATGGAACCCTGTTTTGAAGGACAGTAGGAATTAACAGTTCTCGATAATTAATATACAGCTGTTAATTCCACACTGGCTATAGGGTCTAAAATCTCACACAATTAAACACAATACATAAACATACATACAATAAAACACAATGCACAAACAAACATACAATACAACACAACACACAAACATACATACAATACAACACACAAACATACATACAATACAACACAACACAACACACAAACATGCATACAATACAACACAACACACAAACATACATACAACACAACACACAAACATACATTCACCACAACACACAAACATACATACAACACAACATACAAACATACAATACAATACAACACACACACATACATACAATACAGCACAACACACAAACATACATACAATACAACACAACACACATACATACAATACAACACACAAACATACATACAACACAACACTAAAACATACATACAATACAACACACAAACATACATACAATACAACACACAAACATACATACAATACAACACACAAACATACATACAATACAACACACAAACATACATACAATACAACACACAAACATACATACAACACAACACACAAACATACAAACCAAACAAACACTATACAAGACCTCCTACCTCACCATCCCCTATATAAATAGTACACAAACTGTTTGGGGTATTATAGTACATAGTTTAGATTAGACATATTAATCCCCCTCTGTCTATACTTAAATCTAACTAGTTAGAATAAACACACTACTACTAAACACACAACCTTAAACATAATCCAACCATCCTACCCATACATGCACAAAGTATCTCTCTGTCTCCAAAATCTGAAATCTTTCTTAATCTCAGCCTATCATAACACTTTCTACTTCAAGGTAACTTATCATGATCAAAACCCCTCATAACACTTCTAAATCAGCACATTCACATAAACCACTTATATAACTATAAAAGTCGGTATAGTGAACAGAGGTATGGGTAAGGAATGGAGTAGAATCACAGAAAGCAATAGACATTCATGAAGTGATAAAGTAGCTTAAACAATAGGATTGGAAACGTTTTCAAGATGGGACAAAGAAACAAATGTTAACTATAATTTCATTTCCAACGAACTAACCCCTCACTACTAACTATAGTCTGGTGGATGGGACTTTAAACGGTGGCCCATGTGAGGATTTTCCACTCTCGCATGATAAAGATCCCCCTGCGACTGTTCGTTAAAAGAGTAGGAATGATAATGCTGGTCCGGAGGTCTAGGGTTAGCATCAGACAATATAATTATTTTTAAGATATTAGACTTCAAATTACTCTACCACAGACCAAGTATAGATAGGCTCTCAACTCTCACTCTCAGCTTCTGGACATGTTCTAACTGATAGAGTTAGGTTAAGGCAATATTAGAGACCCTGGAGCCATCTCCTAGACTAGTATAATCAAACAATCACAGCTACAGACGGTCCCAATCTGGGGATGCAGGTCCCCCAACCCCCTCATGTTGCCAGAACACTGACATTTGTCAGTGAGATGATATCTGAACACAAGAGGAGTCATAGAAACGCAAAAAACTAACAACAAATGCCATGTATGTTGTACTGATAAGTACTCAATGACAATATCACATTCGGCTACAGCTTCTCCTTATCTTGGTCATGATTAGGAATACAGAAAGTATTACCTATGCTATATAAGATTCACCCCTCTGACCTCTATACAATTACTGTTCACTGTACACATATACTTCTACATCCTTGTGATCGATAGTCCTGGTTTTTACAAATTTTTTTAAAGATATTTCTTCACTTCTTTTTCCTTCTTTAGCAACACAAGTTAATATCTGTGTTACTTCTTGATAACACTATGAAATATGTGTTACCAGATTAAAATGTTTTGTCATGAATAATTCAATGTGTGATATGATAATTTAATGCTTAGCAGATCAAAAATCCATTTTAAACCAAGGCAGGTATATACAACGTATCTTTAGTCCAATACATATAATTACGTTTATTACTTTATAAGATGCATGTCAAATAGGGTTTTTTTTTTAAATTTAAAAATGAAATTCATCAATGATCTGTAGAGAATCTGGTGTATATGTGTTTAACACATAAATATGCACTTGCTCAGGGCCCTGAAAAACAAGTGATCAGCACTAACACCTATCCTTTATCAACAGGTATAAATTTATGTGCCGAACATCTGGGATGTCCCACATGTTGACCGGGCAACGTGTTATATATCTACCTTTGATCCCGTTCCGTAAACTAAGTTACTCATCAGCATCGATGTATCATCAAACAGACGAAGTACCGTCCGACATGCTGAAAGTTCGGTGGCGATCGTTTTAAAATTCAGTGCAGACTTTCCTTTCGTTGTTCCTGCAAGAAATGTGGCGACATAGCCGGCGAATCGAATGATTCGGTCTTTACCTCGATAAGCCTCCAATACTGAAACTAACCTCTCCATCTTGTTTACGTCTGGTCAAAGTTCTTGATCATTTGTATGTTTGAATTGACTGCTTTTAAAACATGAAGTACTGATCTTCGTCCGTAATACGCTTGATATAAAAGTTCTAAAGACTGGTTAGTTTACAACAAAAATAATCATCTTACGGGACACACAGAGATGATATGGTTGATGTGACATTTTTGTCATTTTTGAATAGCTTTATAAAATTTGTTTATTCTATTTTTTTATCAGAGCTATTTTCGAAAGAGCAAAATTTACATGTAGTTTAGTTCTTGAAAGTACTTCTGAAATTTCAATAAGTAAAACTTAACCCTAAAATAGAATAAAAAAAAAGATGTCCTGAAGTAATAGTGAAAGAAAGTCACTATAGATTTAAAGTGGCGCGATTCATTTTCTGGAGAAGAATATGTCTAATGTTTTCCATGAAAAGGCTCCAAACTATATGTAGAATCCATGTCTACAACATACTCGATCCTCCACATATAATTTCAGTCTCCCATCAGTACAAGGTAAAGAATCTACAACATTCTACTTTACAGGCACAAAATAATGGAATTCTCTTCCAGATTATATTAAAAGTATACCAAACAAGCTTAAGTTCAAAATCCAAGTGAAACGTCACTTTTAAAACAAAATGTAAAAGAATCATGATAGTTATTATGTATATTATTGAGGGAAATACATTTGTAAATCCATTTTAAGGACCCCAATGGAAATAAGCGTTTTAACGCTTTTTGGGAAAATCCTAGGATGTACTTTTGTCTATATTGATAATTATAACTAGCTGATACATTAAAGATATAGCTAACAACTTATTCATGATTATGTATAACATGTTATATGTGCCATATATGTTTTGTATACAAATCTGTACATCTTTATCCTGAATAAATTTAGTATTATTACATGTATACTTCTGTGGCGAGAAGTTGACAAAAATATACAATATTTGATTTATTTGATCTTAAAGCATTAAGATATAGACTCGTATCAGATAAAATCACAAAATACATTATCAATTGTAGACTTTAATCAGTTAATAACAATTGCGAAACGGGTTTATAAACCAACGTTTATTAACCTCCCTTCCTAGCCCGGATGGGGTCGCGCGGGCAGACTGATGTACTCCTGAAAATTTAACGCACATTGTCGTGGAAATGACCAACATACCTCATCGTTCGGGGAGATCGAACCGCTGACCTGTAGGTGAAAGTTCGTTACTCACCAAAGCGCCACCCGACTACCCATCACATATAGAATTTATAAAGCTATAGATGGTTTGGTCTGTGATAAATAAATGTATCCCGTTTGTTTCTTTGTTTCTATGATATACACGTATAACGAACACTGACTGACCAGAATAACGCCGCATTAGAAACGATTTGGGGAAAGTACTACAAACACATTCTACGATAATTTGCATACTCGCTCTGCTCCCTCCCCTCAGTCTTTGCTTTGAATAGATGATTGCATTTCTTTCTCTTTTACGAGTTGCCTCCCCTACCCCACTGCTGTGATACTATTTTGAAGCCTTGACGGCGATTGCGACAGATGATATCAGAAACTGATTCATTGTGTTGTAGCATAGTAGCATAGCTGAAGATATTTGCTGAAATTTATTTTTATTTTTTTGTTTTTATTCATTCATCTATTTATTTATTTATTTATTTATCTATCTATTTATCTATCTATTTATCTATCTATCTATTTATTTATTTATTTATTTATTTATTTATTTATTTATTTATTTATTTATTTATTTATTCTTGCCTTTCTCGTGGGAAGAGGGACAGGTTTTCGATACGAAACACTAGAAATAACCATAAATCAACATTTAAAGACTTTTGAAAGTTTTCAATAAAATAAACTTTTAATCTTTAAACCAAGCCCAATCCCAGACACAGGTTCGTAAATTAATTTATCAACTTATTTAAATACTGATATTTTCAAATTTTGACGGTCAGTTTATTTAAACATATAGTCAATAAGAGATAGCGTCTGGATCAGAATTATAGAGAATTTTCCAAAACTACTATTTGGTTACCGAAACAAATATTCACTATTATCGTCACTCATAGAGTCTATCTTCCCGCCTTCGATACCAAAATTTTGTTCATATTTTGCTTTATTGAATTTTACTTTGGGTTAGGATTCTGTTGACATGTTGGTATTTTCTTGATTGTTTTTATAAACGAAAACCTTTATACCACACATTCTTCAGTGAATTGAGAAACATTTCTAGACGGTGAAACAAAACTTTGAATTTTAAGGTTTGTTCGTTATTGTTTGTACTTTTTTACTTTCATGTCTTTTCTATTGTTGTTTGTTCGGTTTTTTTTCTCTTTTTTTTTCCTTTTGTTTGTTTGTTTGGGGTTTTTTTATTTGTTTGTTTGTTTGTTTGGGTTTTTTGTTCATTTTTTTTACTTACTTACATGGGTTAAGGATGTAGGCAGCAATGGTAACTTCTCATGCGTGATATTTCCTGTATGCAGTGAACTGTGAAGTTTCCAACTCTTACCGCTAATATTATCTACCTGTGCCTGTCGATGATATATTGGTTATCATTGACCCGCCTGATCACAGCCATTTGTCGGACAGTGGGAAGTGAATCTCATTTCTGTAACCAAAATAGTACTGATAGATTGAAGAGATCACATAACTGATATAAGTCAATCGGAAAATTACTGAATTTGAATTTATTTATTTTATTTCCGTGTCACACATTTTTACACAATATATACAATTTCTTTAAAATATATTCCATCAGAGTAAAAATGCCCAGCCATTAATGGGCTTATGAGACACGATTATATACATAAAATATACAGCTATACTTAAAACGCTTATCCATTATTATTATATTATATAATTTATTTATATTTATCCATTATTTAAAAGTGACCGCCTTCTCCTCATCGTTAAGAATACATATTTTCCAAGATTAATTTGTAAAACATCACAATTCATTAAAAGGATAAATTGATTTTCTGCACTCATGGCTTTAAAATTATCACATACAACATTAGCCCTATCCAAAAATTAAATGTTCCCTTAAATCACAATACGCTTTACAGTTGCAAATAAAATGAATTTCTGACTCAATAGCATTAAAAAGGACAAGTTCTCTCATATAGAGGCGTAGGCGGCTTATTATAACGTCCAGTCTCTATATTCAAAGGCAAACTGCCACAGCGCAGCTTAGCCAGAACGCTACGGTGGCCTCTATGCATAATACGTGTAACTCCGTTGTTAATGCCATGTATTTAAATTTCTCCATATTTCAGACAGAAAGTGGTTTACAACATAGGGTAGTACTTCAGTTGTAAATAGTTTTTACACATTCTTTGGTTTACAAAAGTTAACAGACAATATTTGTCACAAAAAGTAGCACAATCAATTTGAAAAACTATCAGGCTTTCTGATACCACTGATATTGATAAATTATTTATGTACTTCAGGAGAAAATATAAAAGAAAACAATTTTAGTATTACACTACGCGTGACACATTGTGTCGTATCCATCTATATCGTCCGTCCCTACTGTGTGTAGAGCGCGTGCACAACAATACATACGTTGACAACATTTAAGTGAAGACTTGACATGATAAATCAGACTTGGTTGTATTTTTAAGACGCCATTTATCTACTGTCCTTGAATGTTTTTGTTCCGCCGTCACGCGGTTTCAATGTTAACACGGACAAGCGGGTGTTGGGGTACAGAGGGTGTTGGGGTACAGAGGGTGTTGGGGTACAGAGGCCGTACGTTACCATTGATTTCGGTAACAGATTTACATTATTTTTTTACTTCTGATGCATTCGAGGCATTAAAATATGTCAGATAATGCTAACTTCTTTTTATTTATTTATTCATTTATGTATTTATTTTTTCTTTATTTATTTATCAATTATTTTTCTATCTATCTATTCAATTTATTTTTCAAAACATATTGTTGTCAGAAATGTTCACTTGGGCGATTAAGGTTACAAAATAAAATGTCTGATTTTATTATATTCTGGATAATAAAACTGATTTATTATAGCTCAGATAACACTTCATGGGAGATAGAGTAAACGGCTATTTTACAACTTATGTACACTGCAGGTGTTAGTTTTAGAAGCTTCTACAGAATTTCCGTTCAATATAAAAAAAGAAGCCGAGTTTAGTTGTTTTTTTCTGCTTTATCGACCTTCTGGGGTGGTATAATGAAAAAACAAAACAACATAGGTTCCAGTTTTAAAAAATCTCTTCTAAAATGGAAACGAAATGTATAAATACAATATATTGATAAGACTGATATCCGCATAAAACCGTTATATCGTTACTCACTCCATATTTCTTTCGTTTGTTACGTCACAATGTATCTGACGTCATGTGACGGGAAGTTTCATCCAACACAGATTGATATATCAAACGCTGTGATCATAACATATTTAATGAAACGAATGTGTTAAATATATAAAAGGAAAGTTATGTGATACAATATATATTTAACAAGAGATTTCTGAACAATTTTCCACAGATAACAATAATTAAAAAAAAAAAAAAAAACCAGAACGTTGACAATTCTTCATTATCGAACGTCATACCATAGCAAAGCACTTTGAGGTCAAAATCATAACAAAAAAAATAATTATTCGTTTTTCAAATATAACTTATCAGAATTTATTTCCTTATCTCCATCCCTACCCCATCCCCAACCTCCCCAAAATGTTGATAATAGTCCGCCTCGCTTAGTACAGCTGGTTTTCGTTAGTTTGCTCTGTCGCTGACGATGCTTAGTGGGGCGACAAAAATACGTCTAGCTATTTTGCAACGACATAAGGGAACATTTACATAGCCTCCTATAGTATATTATTTTGGTATCCCAGAGTTGCTTCCCTTTGTTTCACTCTGGCGATAAGCTTGAGAGTCGACGGAGGCCGAGAAGTGTATTTTACGTTGTAACTTGTGCCTCTATTGACATACATGTTTTAAGTATGCCAGGTTGAACCTGTAGGCCCCCATAATCGTTTCTTTCACCTTACCTGACCCTGCTGCAGCAATTGACATACATCCGGGACAGACGATCTCCTTCAGATTTTGACAACAACGCTTGCCTACTTGACTTAGTTCAGTGTCAAACGTTTACAGTTGAAACATATTCCACTCTAGGGAACGTGCCCTCGAGCAAAATCTAAGATGTTTCTCAACGTTTTCATCAGAATATTATATTTCTATAAAAAAAATGACGTATTTCACAAGTAAGTAATGAAAAAAACATTTTTTTTTGGTTTTAAGATATTTACTGTAGAGGTAATTGTTATTAAATTTTCACTTGAACATCAAAATTAGTAAAAAGAAAAGTATAAAATGTCGATTTTTGTCATTCTTGTACACAGACTGTTGTAGCGACCCGGAGTCTTTTCCACCCTTACGTCCCTTGGTTTTCTTTCAAAACACACCGGGGTAAGATCACGTGATATATTGATGATGTAATCTGTTTCATCCACTATCATTCCATTAAATAAACTGGTCATCGTGCAGTGACATATACACTTTTAAGATGACCCTTCATCAAAAATTATATTACACTCACTCACTCACTCACTCACTCACTCACTCACTCACTCACTCACTTAATCAATCAATCAATCAATCAATCAAATAATCAATCAATCGATCAATAAATAAATCAAACATGTAACAAACAACAAGAATTTTATGCGGTATTTGCCCTGTGAACAACATGATCGGTGACATAAGTTTACAAAAGTCCGCTATCATACAGTGATGCATTCTACATTCCTCAATCTTTGTCGCCTGGGTACTTGTCCCTAGTGTTGTAGTCCGTTGTATAACGCCTTGTTAAAGACTTGACTTATCATTATGTACAGCGCGGGGGACATTGTCTGACATTTTTTTAGTCGGATTCCCGCTACAATATTACGGTGTATTTGTCAAAATACGGCGAAAATGTCGAAGGCAATTGCTATTTTCCTTGTCATTTTCTTCTGTAGAGATGTTTCATGTGCTGAGATTTGCGAGGAAATCATCGCTCCGATGTGTAGAGGTCTCATCCCATACAATATGACGAAAATGCCTAACATGTTCGGACACACCACCCAGGCCCAAGCTTACAGGTACGTAATCACACGCTTCCACAGCTAATAAACACGGACTTACGTTAATGAGAGCCTTTACAAAATTGCGCATTAAGGCTGGTACGTTCGTCTCCATTTGTAATATAATTTGTCTGTGTGTGTTGACGCTGTGATATAATTTGTCTGTGTGTGTTGACGCTGTGATATAATTTGTCTGTGTGTGTTGACGCTGTAATATAATTTGTCTGTTTATGTTGACGCTGTGATATATTTGTCTGTTTATGTTGACGCTGTGATATATTTGTCTGTGTGTGTTGACGCTGTGATATACTTTGTCTGTGTGTGTTGACGCTGTGATATAATTTGTCTGTGTGTGTTGACGCTGTGATATAATTTGTCTGTGTGTTGACGCTGTGATATATTTGTCTGTGTGTGTTGACGCTGTGATATAATTTGTCTGTGTGTGTTGACGCTGTGATATAATTTGTCTGTGTGTTGACGCTGTGATATATTTGTCTGTGTGTGTTGACGCTGTCATATATTTGTCTGTTTATGTTGACGCTGTGCTATTTTTGGCTGTGTGTGTTGACGCTGTGATATATTTTGTCTGTGTGTGTTGACGCTGTGATATAATTTGTCTGTGTGTGTTGACGCTGTGATATAATTTGTCTCTGTGTGTTGACGCTGTGATATATTTGTCTGTGTGTGTTGACGCTGTCATATATTTGTCTGTTTATGTTGACGCTGTGCTATTTTTGGCTGTGTGTGTTGACGCTGTGATATATTTTGTCTGTGTGTGTTGACGCTGAGCTATATTTTGTCTGTGTTTGTGTTGACGCTATGATACAATATGTCTTTGTGTGCTGACATTTTGATATCACATTTTGCCTGTGTTTTTGATGCTGTGAAACATTTCATATTTCCGTGTCGACGCTGTAATTGATATTGTCGTTATTCATTGGATTTTTTTAAATAATTGAGTTTGTGTGTTTTTGCAATATATATTGCCACTATCGTATTTCTGTTCACAGGAGAATGGAGCGGTACTGGTCAGGAATGGATTTACCTTGTTCTAACAACTTCCGGTTAACGATATGCGGAGTTTTTTTCCCCCAGTGTGAGAGTGGTGACGGTTACGTGACCACGAAACTCCCGTGTCGGGAAGGTTGTCTGTACGCCAAAAGAGAATGTCGAAAATCATTTAAACAACTGAATATGAAATGGCCTAGCAAAGTGCTGAAGTGTAAGAAACTCAGTCGGAAGAAGTCGAAGAATTGCGTTAAGCCGTATCCGAAAGTCAAAACTCCTCCGGTGCCTCAATATCTTTACTGCGAACCAAATCAGATAGAAATGTGTAACGGTTTTAACATCGGAAAGGGTTCCCTACCAAATTTCTTCCAGCAGGGAAAACCGAATGAGGTTGCTACGGAAATGGAGAATTATCGTCTGCTTCTCAGGTCGAACTGCAGTCCGAACTTACGATTCTTTATTTGTGGTGTTTACAAGCCTTTTTGTCCGTCAAACAATCGACCAATTGTTCTGCCGTGCAGGGAGCTTTGTCAGGAAGTCAAGCAGTCCTGCGAATCAATCTATCGCAAGTTGTATAACGGTATGAGATGGCCGTCCAAATTTCAATGTCATCGATATCCGCTCTCGAATTCGACCATGATGCCCTGCAAGATGAGTGACGTCATCACCGACGATGATGAAGAGCCTTTCATACCGACAAGAAATTAAAATTTCTAACAAAATGCCGAAAGGTTGATTTTCCTGGTGTGACATACAAACATTTCCCCAGATATGTAATTTCCGGGTCCTGTTTTTTGTAAAAGGTCTGGATCAGAGAATTCTCCATTGCTACATTTTCGTAGCTGTACTGAAGAATGATACATACTTTGTGGCATTATCTATATATATACATAACGACGGTTTTTATTGGATTATGGTGACCACGTGACGGGTAATATCCGGTTTCCCTTCCACTTCCGAGCTTCCTGTAATACTTTTTCCTTCTGTGCTTCTCTGGAATATAGGAAAGTGACATGACTATTGAGATCCGAGTGGCAGAAACAGACGATAAAAATACTCTATATTCCAATGTTGTATTTCTGATAAAAATAAGTCTATTATTTGGATAGGTATTGCGTTGGAGGAATATTTCTGTTTGTGATATTGGAAATCTTCATCCAAAAGATCTCCATAATTATGGCGCTGACGTGTCTTACGTCATATTGTGACGTCATAATTATGGTTAGGGTCGTTTTGCCGGGATTTATCATATTCATGACGGTTTTGTTGAAATGAAAAGAAAAAATTACCGTATGAAAGTCGCTAAGCGTGTCTATATAGGCCATTTGTTTGTGGTTCTTCAAAAGATAACAAAATATGTTTTGTAAATAATAAGCACTATTGTCATATCAGATACAAGTTGTAACAATAGATATGAGTGTGTTTTGTTATTTTTTAAGTTTCTTTTAACAGAGCACCATTAATCTTGAACACTGACCAAATTCTAATATTCTTTCTCTCAACCAAAATAGATGTTCCCTAAATATTGAATGAAGACTGGATCGATCAGGTTTTAATTAATCAAAACACAGGTATTTAATAAAATTATTTCTATTGGAATAAAGTGCTCTCTCTCTCTGTAAAATTCTGTAAAATATCTCAGGTCCGACATCGAAGTTATCCTTTCTTTAAAGACGAGAAACAAAGTTCTAATGAAAAGACCCGGATGCGTTGTCCTTATCTACCAGAGTCAGTCTCTGTTTCGCGAAACGATGAGAAACGGACCAGTCTAGGCTGTCTTAGTTGTGTTCCTTGATGGACATTTTATTTTAATTCCTCGTGTGAATGGCCTTCCGTATGTTGTTCAATTAGGCGACAGAGCTAAACAAATACATTTGTTGTGCGTGAAGCGATTAAGTAAATAAAACTAAATATATAAGATAAAATTGATTTATTAGATAAAGATATCGAACTTCGATACAACGAAATATTTCTGTCGAATAGGAAGCCGTGACAGCTCAGTAGGTACAGAGTTAGACTTTTACAAATTTAGATGAAAGTACAGAGTGAATACATCGATCAAATCGGAGCGGTTTATCAGTAACCTAACAGTATAAATTATATCTAGTGACGTCATATAAACCTAACAGTATGAATTATATCTGATGACGTCATATAAACCTAACAGTATCGATCATATCTAGTGACGTCATATGAACCTAAAAGTATACATTATATCTAGTGACATCGATATGAACCTAACAGTATTAATTATATCTGGTAACGTCATATGAACCTAACAGAATAAATCATATATAGTGACGTCATATGAACCTAACAGTATACATTATATCTAGTGACGTCATATGAACCTAAAAGTATAAATTATATCTAGTGATGTCATATAAACCTTACAGTAGAAATTATATCTGGTGACGTCATATTTAAACCTAACAGTATAAATCATATATAGTGACGTCATATGAACGTAACAGTATAAATTATATCTTGTGACGTCATATTAACCTTACAGTAGAAATTATATCTGGTGACGTCATATGAACCTAACAGTATAAATTATATCTAGTGACGTCATATGAACCTAACAGTATCAATTATATCTAGTGACGTCATATTAACCTTACAGTAGAAATTATATCTGGTGACGTCATATGAACCTAACAGTATAAATTATATCTAATGACGTCACTTTGTATATAAATTATAACTTGAGATATTTATCATTATTTTTTTTTTTTTTTTTTTGAGGTGGAGACACTCGGTTTGTGTCTTACTCAGTGGACAATATCAAAGCGGCTGTTCGTCTCTAGATATTTCTGATCCAAATCAACGTTAAACCCGTTGAAATTTGGACTTCGCAACTGACTTTGTATTTGCATTGTAATGAAATGTAGTATATGTAAGACAGTGTACTTTTCATAAAAAATTTGTCTGTAGGATAGAAGGTGTATCTGACGGAAAATATGGCAACTGAACTGTCAATTGTATCCCTGGCTCAAGGATGCCAGGTTGAACAAATATGTTGTTATCTAAAAGAATATCACAACAAACGGATTTCTCCCTCAGATAGAAAGAAAGAAACAAACAAAAATAAAACAAATAAAAAAAACAAAAGGCTACAGAAAGTTTGGAAAACTGAAAAGAAAGAAATACTGAAGATCTTTTCAAAAACATATCGGATTTCCGTTGATTGTAATTAAGCCAAGATACCGGTAAATGGAAATAACCTTGTACGACCTTCGGGTTTTAATTTTTGCCTTGGTAAAAACGATCTAACATATGTTATTGAGGTCATGTCCTTACGCACCGTTAAAAATAAATTGATTGCCATTATGACCATCACGCGAACATACATCTCGATGGTTAAATGACAGAAAAATCGCATGGTTGTTAGTATGACAGATCCATCAACTACCTCCCCACCCCATCCCCTTCACACACACACACACACACACACACACACACACACACACACACACACACACACACACACACACACACACACACACACACACACACACACACACACACACACAAACACACCTCTCACCACTCACAGACACACACACAAGCACACACACACACGCCCACACACCTCTCACCACTCACAGACACACACACAAGCACACATTCACACACACGCACACACACACACACACACACACACTCACATAAACACACACACACAGAGGCACACACACACACGCACACACACCTCACCACTCACAGACTCACACACACGCACAAACACATACACATACACACGTACACACACGCGCGCGTTTATAGATTCCTTGTTCATCACACAGTCAAGTTGATAGAAAGAAGGGCAAACAATTATAGAAAGAAAAGTTTGAAAGAATTAAAAGATTATATTAAACAGAGAAAAGTTTGGCTTAAAGCAGAAAGATAGAAAGAAAAGAGAGAGAACGTAAGAAAGAAAGAGAGGAAGAAAGAGAAAAAAATGATAAGTAGAGAAAAACGAAAAGACAAACAACAAAGTAAGAAAGAAATAAAGGAAGAAAGAGAGAAAAAAGGGAAAAAAAGGGAAAAAAGAAAGAAAAGAAAAGAAAGCAAAAGAAACATTGACTTCTAAATGTTTGAGAAACACGAATAGAACCATGTCGGTCGTCCTGTTTCCGTTCCTGATCTGATCAAACAACATTTACAGTCGAGCGATTTATTTTGTTCTATTTTATTGTATCTTATGCCTTTTTATCATTATTTTCTTTTTTCTTTATGTTTTATTCATTTTATGTTAACATCAGTTTCGAGTTGATCAATTAATTTGCCACTTCATAATTTTAAACAAAAATACGAAAACTAAAAATCATATCGGTCTGTTATTTGTTAGATTTTTCGAGTCATTGAACCCGTGACCTTTGGTCAGGTCATGGGACAGGTACAAGATGTTTTGGTCATTAAAAATGTTTATAATCCTGATTTGACCTCAGCTGACCATAGGTCAACCAGTCATCGATAAACGACATCATTAATTCATTTGTTTATATAGTCATTTGACCTACCATAAATCTACCTTTTGACCTTTCAACCAATCAAACAAAGGGGTTCGCCACGGGATATTTTCTAAATAAAGAAATGACTCGATATGAAATTGTTATCGTTTATAATATATGATATATTAATAACATAGTCTTTGAAATGCAGTGAAAGACATCTCCGTACAAAGAACATATCTCAAGTTTATAATTTTACATTATTTTAATTTCTGTTTCGATTTTTTCCTTTCCAATTGAACATATTTACATTGTTCGAACATTTCGAATTTATCTTTTCTGAAATGATTCCCATAATTTAATAAAATTTCCGATGCATTATAAAGATATCTTGATACGAAAGATGTTTCCCTGCACGTGGATTCCGCAACCCCTCTGGGCCTTTCTTATTTATATCAAGGACAACGTCGAGGAATCTTTCGAAATACTCTCCAGCGTTAATGTCTGTAAAACAATCAGGGACACATAACACTATCATTACACAACACATGCGGAATTCCTCGTAATTGATTGATGAGGCACGGTGAGAGATCAATGCTAGCTGTATATAAAAGACCGGTGCTTACCGAGTCGATAAGAACTAACCAGCACATTCTACAAGAACTACTGTATTTTTTTCTTTCTTTTTTTTCGTAACTAAGTAACCTTTTTCGAATTTTGAAACAGCAACAGAACACTCAAGAACACTTGTCAACCTTTTTTTCCATCAAAAGGTTTAATTTCCTTCGGAATCAACAAAGATGTTTTCGAAATCATCAAGACAACTGATGAAGATTGTCGGTATTCAGGTGTTCATCAGGATCACGCTGGCCAGAGTTTTACCGCAGATGGTAAGTACATATATTACATATCTAATTTGAAATATATATGTCCGTTCTCAATACCCCAGGTGTTGACGATCACTGTCGCTCTCGGCAACCCCAGAACATTTCCTGGCAAACTTTGAAGGCCTAGCTAAGTAATTGAACTGGTCTATGGCAGGTTTAAGGGGAGCGACAACTTCAAATGTGACCTCGAGTTTCGTTTGATTTGTCATGAAATGTTCCAACGGTCCAGAGTGTGATACTGAGCGTAACCCCTGGGGTAGCATGATGGACTTTATTTTGATAGGATAAAACCTACATGCTTCTTTGAAGTCCGAGAAGATACGGTTAAACTTACATGCTTCTTTGATGTGTAAAGTCCGAGAAGATACGGATAAACTTACATGCTTCTTTGATGTGTAAAGTCCGAGAAGATACGGATAAACTTACATGCTTCTTTGATGTGTAAAGTCCGAGAAGATACGGATAAACTTACATGCTTCTTTGATGTGTAAAGTCCGAGAAGATACGGTTAAACTTAAATGCTTCTTTGGTGTGTAAAGTCCGAGAAGATACGGTAAAACTTAAATGCTTCTTTGGTGTGTAAAGTCCGAGAAGATACGGTAAAACTTACATGCTTCTTTGATGTGTAAAGTCCGAGAAGATACGATTTTGTTTTATTGTTTTAAGTTAACTTTTCTGTCTGTATATAACGGGTTTTTCCCCATGCGGTAAATCTGACCTTATTTGATGTGTTCAGCGCTAGGATGAATGACGATTTGGTTTCATGTGGACATTTGTGTGTATAAGATATCTTTTACTGTGTACAGATCTCGAGAATAAACTATGATTAGGCTAATATCAATACTTCTATGTATAAAGTATTGTTAGACTTTTTCATGATCAATAGAGACTTTGCTCCACAGTAAAATCGACTCCTTTCTGCAATTTTGTAAAATATATATAATTAACGTCAACAGACAACTTCGGGTTCATGTAAATGTTGTTTCAAATTAGTCATAAATGGTACAATATCGAAATATGGCAAGATAGTTTCAGTTTATCTTGTATAATTATGAAATCAGCTATAGAATAGAAAAAAATGTCTCTTAGGTATATTATCCAATCGAAATGATCAGATAAAAAAGTCCTCAACAGACGGAAAAGTCCGACTTTGTTGGTTCTATGACTGTCGGAAAAGTGCGAATTTGTTGGTTCTATGACTGTCGGAAAAGTGCGCACTTATCCGATTAATGTGAAATTTCAATAAAGTTGAGTTTCCCTGGATGTACATCGTGTGCACGTGGAAACATATATTTATCATGCTGATTACTCAGTCACGTAATTTTCTAGTTTTCAATAATTTGAAAGGGAAAAATAGGAAACAAGTAATAAGCTTTACCCACTCCGCTTTAGAAGTGCTAACCAAATCCCAATCTGTCTCTGATAATAGATACCAGCAGTAGTTGAGTTGATTTTTGAAAGGATTTCTAAAAATGAATAACATTTCACGAAGAAATATTAAAAAAAAAAAAAATCAAACAAAACAAAAAGCTGAATTTTTTTTCTTATTTTCTTACTCTTTACTTCCAGCAGGACCTTTCCTACAAATCCAGAATCACCCCGGATTCTAGATTCAGCGTCGGTCCCATTTTGACTCCTGTCAAATTCCTCAAGCTGAAGAACAAACAAATGCCTGAACGAGCACGTGCACAAGATCTTCAAAATAGCGCCAATAATGGAGGCATGCAGCCCGAATATTTGGAACCAGTAAGTGCCTCTCCTAAGCGAATCAGAATAGAGCTTGCACGTGGATCGAACAAACATGTGTCGATTACACATCGATCAGGCAGACGGATCCATCTTACTTTAAGGGGGAGACAGGATACCCAGCAGGCCAGCCCAAGACAGGTTAGGATGATGTTTAAGAACAGACCACAGAACGTTGCCATGGATACGATTTCAAACTCTGTAAATGTCAATGAATTTCCTTCCGAGACAACCCAATTCCGTAAAACTGTCGGTGTGAATGCCGGGAAGAACCAGAGAGGGTCAAGTCAGATCGTCCTATTTCGAACAAACAGTCCCAATCGAATGCAGAAGCGCGTCATCATCAGGCCTGCCACCGGAAGCGGAAGTTCAAACAGACGTGTTCTGAGAATCCATTTCGTCAGAAACAACAACGGCAATGATATCGTTCAAAGGGGAGTAACTCGCACTGAGATAAATATGCCAACAACAAAAGTCGATCAGTACTCACAAGTCAACAGAATGAAAAATGGCGGACACGTCGAAGTAACTCCCAGTTTAACTCAAGGTCAAGGCCAAAATCAAGTCCACAATCCACTTCAAGGTCAGTTTGAACTTCAAGGGCAACTCAGTGGTGAGGTTCTGGCTGAAATTAAAGGAAAAATAGAAAGTTTGCTCCAAGGTCAACTCCAGGGTATGGAAGAACCGGATGTTGTACCAACAGCGAACGGAAGAGCATCATTAGTGTCACCAACATCGAGTCCATCGAAAAGTGAACGCTCAACAACTCTACCTGTTGATATTGAAGCCGAGGAAATTTAGTTCTCATCTGCTTCGTAACAGCAACTGCAACTTAATATTTCGAATTAGGATAACAAGTCATCACACCATTCTTGATTATTTCGAAACAAGAGGATTCTTCACCTTGTTTAATCAAGGAATGTTTTCGTTTGATTTATTTCGTTTTAAAAGCATACTTTTGAATTAAGTTCTAAGTTTTATATCATTAAGGAAGAGTTAAATAATTACTGTAAACCTTAATTTTATCTGTAAATGATGTTATCTTTATATTAAGGTGAACGGTACCTTTTATACCTTCTTTCGAAAAGAGTTCCAAGCTGAGTCGTGTGTGTACAACTCCTGTTATCATGCCGTTCCGTGTGTTACAGTAGAATGTGCTGGTCTATCCAATTATTTACCTTCATGCTGGTCATGAACATGTAACTTGTTAAGTTTTGTCTAAAAATAGTTAAATAATAAATTATTTAACAAAGAAACTTGTGATTTATCTTCCATACTATTTATCTTTCAATTGCTACTTCACCTTAAAACCTGTTTTTTTTTTGTTTTTTTTTAAAGTTCTAGAATTGCAATTTCAATGTTAGTATATATTGTCATATGTAAGATTTTAAGAAAATCTTATTCTCAGGAAATTAATTAAATATGTTTGATATGAATTTTTTTTAAATCGGAAGAAACTGGACATAAGATATTGTAATAATGTTTCTTATTTGTTAGTGCTATGTGAGGTTGATAAAACGACGGCACGACTTTATTGCAAATCATTTGTTGTAACAAATGCCTGTGTGCATAGGCCTACAAACTTAATGATGTTTTACCGCTAAAAGTCATGTCTCTGGGCATGTGCAGTCGTATCAAAAGAGTAACCTGAGGCATAACTACCTGACATCTGTAATGAAAACGTCACTTGCTTACGACACTGGGGGAATAGACAGGGAAAATTCGCCAACGCTGGATCTCACTTGTCCATTAATGTATGCCTGGTCATTTGGCCGTAACATGTATGTCTGACCATGGCGATGACTGACCGTTTGGAAATTAGGAAAATTGACATTGACATCTGACCTGTACTTGTAGATGTCAACCATATAAATATCAAAACGAGAGACGAGATGGTTGGATGAGAGAATGTGGGATGAGATTGGGAGAGAATGGGGGAGGAGATGGGGGAGAAAATGAGGGAGGGAATGGGAAGAGAATGGGGGAGGGGATGGGGGAGGAGAAGGGGAGAGAATGGGGGAAGAGGTGGGGAGAGAATAGGGGGAGAGAATGTTGGAGGAGATGGGGGAGAGAATGGGGGAAGGGGTGGGGAGAAAATGGGGATAGGGGAGAAAATGAGGAAGGAGATGGGGTGAGAATGAGGTAGGAGAAGGGGGAGAGAATGGGGGAAGAGAATGGGAAAGGGATGGGGAAGAGAATGGGGGAGCAAATGAGGGAGGGGATGGGGGAGGAGATGGGAAGAGAATGGGGGAGGGGATGGGGGAGAGAATGGGGGAAGGGGTGGGGAGAGAATGGGGGAGAAAATGAGGGAGGAGATGGGGAGAAAATGTTGAAAAAAATTATGGAGTAGGAGTAGAGAATGTGGAGGGCGTGGGGAAGAGAATGGGGGAGCTAATGAGGAAGGGGATAGGGAAAAAATGAAGGAGGAGATGGGGGAGAGAATGGGAGAAGGGGCACGGGAGGGGATTTTAAAGAATGGGGGAGAAAGTGAGGGAGGGAATGGTGGAGAGAATGGGGGAGGAGATGGGGAGAGAAAGTGGGGGAGAGAAAATGGGGAGAAAATGATGGCGAAATCGGGGGAGAGAATAGCGGAAATAAATGAGGAGTTGGGGAAGAGAATGTTGAACAAAATTATGGAGATGGAAGAGAGAAGGGGGGGGGATAGGGTGATAATGGGGTCGGACAATAAACCTATTTTGACAATATAGTTCATTATTATTAATTGTCTAAGTTATTTAATGCAAAATGTAACACTATTGATATCATTTCTTGGAAACTTTCTAAACAAAGACATCCGTTTAACAAGATTCTGTGAAAAGTCTTTAACCGATATATAGAGAAAAAAGTTTATTGATTTGAGTGATACTGATGACGCCATATTTGATTACAAAATGGCGGCGATGTGAACTGCTCGATAGTTGTACCTGAACACTAGAGCTTTTTCTAATTCAAATAGAATCTTTGCTTGTCATATAAACATATTTATACTTCATATACTTCAGTCTGCAAGTGGCAATAAACTTCTAATTAACCGTATGACAAGGCAAACTGAATGCATTACATCACTGATTTAAGTATTATCATTCAAAATCACACACGGAAATATTGATGGAAAATATCTTTTAATAAAAACATCGGATGTAAATTGACAGTAAAACCAAATCGTAACAACAATATTTCTCTGGTGCACAGACAAGACTACGATCTGATGTGCGTGAGAATGTATATAACTGAACAGAACTCGGACAAAATTACAACAGCGCGAACACTATATAATAGCTTTCTGGTTTCATTTTTACAATATATTTCCTTTCCTTCAAGTGGCATTACATTTAAACTCTCCTTAAGCTCTTGTATATTCTTTATTTCTAGTAAATATTTGAAAAATGAATAAACATCAGTTTACATAATCACAACGTCATAATCGGTAATGACGTCTTAATAGTAAAACATGACACCATAACCTGACATAATGACGTCACAACCTGAAAAATGACGTCATAACATGTAAAGATGACGTCATTACCAGAAAAATGTCACTGTTACCTATAATTAAGAAATAAAACTAATACAAACAAGCGTACGATTAGTTTGAAGAATCAAAGAGTGCAAACTTAGTACGTGCAGACTGAAATGTTGGATTTTGTAATCACTTTGAATCAACACCATAATAGTTCATTTTAATAAGTCAGTATTTACACCGGAGAAGTCGTCATGAATACAAGTTATCTTTGTCATACTCCTTTGGAAACAGTTTTTAACCATAAGAAAAAGTATGTCTTGACCGTAAGCCAATTTTATCATCCTAAGTTAGATATTAGTCCATTGTGACATTAGGACGAATGCTTTTCAACCTCCCAAAGAACAACCCTTGAGGCGAATGAATTTGTGAAAAGTTTTCCTTATGTATAACAACTGTCATAATGGAAGTACCGTTTGATCAATTGCGATGAAAATCATTCTTTTGAATTGGATAAAAATTCATCCTAAAAGAGTGATGTTTTCAACCGCAGAACAACAAAATGTACAAGCTTCTTCCTACATGTGTGACTTGTTCGGGCGAAATCCTGTTAAAAATCCTTTTAACACATTCCTTTAATAGTATGATATTTTAACATTTTCCTACTGAAAGAACAGAATCCATTTCAGGTGCTAGTAAAACAGACAAACCACAGACAATTGTTGTTGTTTATATACCGAACCATTGATTATCTCCCTTTATTTTTTCTCTTCAAATTCAACAATCCTTGAACGGAAAATGTGACGTCATTACGAAAAAGTTTGTGCTTTACGTCACTAGTACAGAGTTCGCTACTGTTGTTGTTGGTGGCAACAACGGTTTGTCGGTTTTTGCTTTTGGAGCAATAGTTGTAGTCGTAGACAAACCTTCTTGTTCCATTTCCATTTCTAATTCAGGTTCTGGTGCTTGTTTACTTGTCCCTCCATTTGCACTATTTCCGGTTCCGGTTTTTGTTCCAATGTTTTGGCCGTTTTCAGGACTAGTTTTGACAGTCGTTGCCTTATTTGGATTGTTTACGTTTTGTATTTTATGACTTATTATAACACTCGATATTTGTGTACCGGTCTGGTCTACCCGAGAGAACTGGATATCTCCACCTGATCGGACTAATACTGGTGTACCGTATCCGCTTTGCGCGACCTTGATTTCGTTTCTAACTTGTGAGGATGGTGATTGAACAACAGCTGGTGAGTTCTGTTTTATTGTAACGATATGCCTCGGCTGGGCGACCTGACCAGAGGTCTGTATGATTTGACCGGAAGCCTGTATGACTTTCCTTGGCGATTGTATGACTTGCCTCGGCGCCTGTATGACTTGCCTCGGCGCCTGTACGACCCGTCTCGGCGCCTGTATGACTTGTCTCGAAGCCGGCACAATTAATTCCGGAACGATGTCGAGTTCTGAATTGATTAAAAAACGTGAGAGTTGCGGTGTTCCTTCCTGACCACTCAAGGATGACAGAACCGAATTTGCTAATTTGACTGAAGCGATCTTTGATGCTAATCCGATTATATTATCTATATCCATACTCTCCAGTCCGCCTTCCAAAGCTTCGCCGACTAGCCGTACCTGGCGCTGATTCTGATGCTGCTGTGGAACATTTTGGCTATGTTGTTGCATGGTGTATTGAGACGGAGAAATAATAATTCGTCTTCCGTTTTGAACAACCACTCTTTTACCGCTGTTTGAAATTCCGTTCGGAATTCCCCCAGTTCTACGTCGTATATTAGACTGCATACCCGAGGTCACATGAAATGACGGATATCTTCGTTGTGATGTTTGCATCCTGTTATTACCATTCATTAACCCCGCAGAATTTCCATTATCAAATCGTGCCGAATTGTGAAAATTTTGCCCATTATTTCTGTAAAAATGCCGGGAATTTCTTCCTTTATTTCCATCGGATATCTGATTTCTTGGAAATCTTGTGTTTCCAGAATTATTCCGGATTTTTCCGTTTTGGTTGCTATTTGTTGCGACCGCTATATTTCGTCCGTTCGATGATCCTTGCGATGTATCCCCCCTCATACTAGACGACCGAGATTTTCCTCTACTATTAGAGGAAAGAGAAGACCCGGATCTTGATTTTGAGGACGCACCTCTTACTGAGGGACCTCGTGCCTGTCTTGTTTTTGAATTAGCAGTTTTTCGAGTGATACCAGTTGCAGATCCTCGAACAGCGTTCTTAACCACAGCTTTACCGGAAGCCATCTGCTTTTGAGAATGAGTTTCGGTACCTGTTTTGGTATTACCACTTCCAGCTCCACTGTTGCCCGCCATTTTGTTTAATCTTACTCGAGTGGCACTAGTTGGTATCGCAGCAATACTTCGTTGTAAATTACTTCCGGCACTCGTGCGAGCTCTTCCAGGGACTGTGTTTTTACGTATCGTGTTTACATGTTTTTTACTATGTGTTTGCCTCGTATTTACATTACTTTTCCTTGCTACACCTTTTCCTGTTGATGGCACTCGGTAGTTTTGTTTGATGTTATTTGCGAATGGTAACGCTTTTCGCAGTCCCTGTCGTAAACTGTCCCCAATGGCCTTGCCTTCCTTGGCACCTAACACTCCCCCTATCCCAACTGTTTTTCCATTCGTTATTCCAACAACATGATTATTACTGTTTCTTGAATGTATTGTTTGAATAGAGTTACCTCCCGTTTTCATCAATCTCGCAGTAGTTCTGTTGTATCGAGGATTTCTCACATCAGCCTGAAAAGACGAAAATAAACATTAAGAAAAAACACTAGCTATTTTACCAAGACATACATCTCCCATACAGTGTCTGAAGCGACATCCACTGTGAGACAGAGTCAAGATAATGTCAGTGATTATTTAATTATTTTACAATATATATATAATTCGCTTAATAACACAATCATAAATACCTTTTTCAAATGAGAGAGATATAACGCCATTCAAAAGTTTATGCCCATTCAATTATATGAAATTTCGTGAATATTTGTGTAGGTAAATATGTCATGTACACGTAATACAACGAATGTAATATTTGGTCACATTCTCATTTGATGAAACTCGCCCCATTCTCATTTGATGAAACTCGCCCCATTCTCATTTGATGAAACTCGCCCCATTCTCATTTGATGAAACTCGCCCCATTCTCATTTGATTAAACTCGACGCATTCTCATTTGATGAAACTCGCCCCATTCTCATTTGATGAAACTCGCCCCATTCTCATTTGATGAAACTCGCCCCATTCTCATTTGATTAAACTCGACGCATTCTCATTTGATGAAACTCGCCCCATTCTCATTTGATGAAACTCGCCCCATTCTCATTTGATGAAACTCGCCCCATTCTCATTTGATGAAACTCGCCCCATTCTCATTTGATTAAACTCGACGCATTCTCATTTGATAAAACTCGCCCCATTCTCATTTGATGAAACTCGCCCCATTCTCATTTGATGAAACTCGCACCATTCTCATTTGATGAAACTCGCCCCATTCTCATTTGATGAAACTCGCCCCATTCTCATTTGATTAAACTCGACGCATTCTCATTTGATGAAACTCGATCCATTCTCATTTGATGAAACTCGCCCCATTCTCATTTGATGAAACTCGACACATTCTCATTTCATGAAACTCGACACACTCTCATTTGATGAAACTCGACACCTTCTCATTTGATGAAACTCGACACACTCTCATTTGATGAAACTCGACACATTCTCATTTGATGAAACTCGCCCCATTCTCATTTGATGAAACTCGACACACTCTCATTTGATGAAACTCGACACATTCTCATTTGATGAAACTCGCCCCATTCTCATTTGATGAAACTCGCCCCATTCTCATTTGATGAAACTCGCCCCATTCTCATTTGATGAAACTCGACACATTCTCATTTGATGAAACTCGACACATTCTCATTTGATGAAACTCGACACATTCTCATTTGATTAAACTCGACGCATTCTCATTTGATGAAACTCGACACATTCTCATTTGATGAAACTCGCCCCATTCTCATTTGATGAAACTCGACACATTCTCATTTGATGAAACTCGACACATTCTGATTTGATGAAACTCGACACATTCTCATTTGATGAAACTCGACCCATTCTCATTTGATGAAACTCGACGCATTCTCATTTGATGAAACTCGCCCCATTCTCATTTGATGAAACTCGACCCATTCTCATTTGATGAAACTCGACCCATTCTCATTTGATGAAACTCGACACATTCTCATTTGATGAAACTGGACACATTCACATTTGATGAAACTGGACACATTCTCATTTGATGAAACTCGACCCATTCTCATTTGATGAAACTCGACACATTCTCATTTGATGAAACTCGCCCCATTCTCATTTGATGAAACTGGACACATTCTCATTTGATGAAACTCGCCCCATTCTCATTTGATGAAACTCGCCCCATTCTCATTTGATGAAACTCGCCCCATTCTCATTTGATGAAACTCGACCCATTCTCATTTGATGAAACTCGCCCCATTCTCATTTGATGAAACTGGACACATTCTCATTTGATGAAACTCGACCCATTCTCAGTTGATGAAACTCGACCCATTCTCATTTGATGAAACTCGTCCCATTCTCATTTGATTAAACTCGCCCCATTCTCATTTGATTAAACTCGACACATTTTTTTTTCCATTTTTTTTTATTCTTATTTATTTATTGATTTTTATAATTATTATTCTAATATCCTTAATTTTTTTAACAGATTCAGATTTCAAATTCCGAAAATCGATGCCTTATTCTCATGTATTAAACAAAATATGCGCGATAAAAATATGTTTATAAGAGGGCCCATTAGTGATATAAAATTCAGATGATGCACGTTACCATTTGTTATTGACCAAAATTTACGGCGGGTGTCGTCGATAAGACAAAAACGATTTCTCTTCTGGAACACCTGGTCTCATTATCCTTGTATTTTCCCTTAGTTCGATTGCATTTAGTTTGGATTATAACTACATGTGCATGTTGACATGTTTTTCTCCATATATAGTCAAAAATCAAAACTGATTCTATCAAATGTAATTCACGTGTTTTATTTTGGCAAAAGATTCATTACACACAACAAAACGTTTTAGAGAATTGATGTTTTAAGAGAGGAGGAACGGAAAAGAAAACACCGGAAGTATAGACCTAAAATTAAAACCAAGGACGGTTTTTTCCCTGTTGACTTCGTTACGGATTCCTTACAATGTTGACGTCATCCGATACGACCTTATGACTCGTTCTTTATAGGTTTTAACACGAATGGTTTTTGTTTTTCTCTGTGAGTACAAATCTTATATATATCTTAACATACATCTTAACATAGGTTAGGCTATATATATATATATATCTGCTCACGTATATATATATTTATTTACGTGAGCAGACATTGTCTTCCTGTATGGAAGGTAAAACAAGTATATGGGAGGTGATTTCTGTGTACAACAAAAACACGAATGCTACATATAGTTCTGGGGAGAGTTGAAGGGGTTCATTGATGACAAGACACTTTCACTAGCAATATATGATCTGAATAACAGCTCTTCATTGAAGATTGGACACAGAAACACCTTTCAGAATTAAATAGAGCGATTTATGATATACACCATATAGTTGTTTCGTAAACAGTAATTAGTATGTAAATAGCATGTTAATATTATGTAAATATTAGGTAAATAGTATGTAAATAGTATGTAAATATTATGTAAATATTATGTAAATAGTATGTAAATAGTATGTAAATATTATGTAAATATTATGTAAATAGCATGTAAATAGCATGTTAATATTATGTAAATAGTATGTAGATATTATGTAAATATTATGTAAATAGCATGTAAATAGTATGTTAATATTATGTAAATAGTATGTTAATATTATGTAAAAAGTATGTATATATTATGTAAATAGTATGTTAATATTATGTAAATATTATGTAAAAAGTATGTCGATATTATGTTAATATTATGTAAATATTATGTAAATAGTATGTTAATATTATGTAAATATTATGTAAATAGTATGTAAATAGTATGTAAATACTATGTAAATAGTATGTAAATAGTATGTTGATATTATGTAAATAGTATGTAGATATCATGTAAATATCATGTAAATAGTATGTAAATATTATGTAAATAGTATGTAAATATTATGTAAATATTATGTAAATAGTATGTTAATAGTATGTAAATTTTATGTAAATAGTATGTAAATATTATGTAAAAAGTATGTAGATATTATGTAAATAGTATGTTAATATTATGTAAATATTATGTAAAAAGTATGTAGATATTATGTTAATATTATGTAAATATTATGTAAATAGTATGTTAATATTATGTAAATATTATGTAAATAGTATGTAAATAGTATGTAAATATTATGTAAATAGTATGTAAATAGTATGTTGATATTATGTAAATAGTATGTAGATATCATGTAAATATCATGTAAATAGTATGTAAATAGTATGTAAATATTATGTAAATAGTATGTAGATATTATGTAAATATTATGTAAATAGCATGTAAATAGTATGTTAATATTATGTAAATAGTATGTAAATATTATGTAAATAGTATGTAGATATTATGTAAATATTATGTAAATAGTATGTAAATAGTATGTTAATATTATGTAAATATTATGTAAATAGTATGTAAATATTATGTAAATAGTATGTAAATAGTATGTTAATATTATGTAAATATTATGTAAATAGTATGTAAATAGTATGTAAATATTATGTAAATAGTATGTAGATATTATGTAAATATTATGTAAATAGTATGTAAATAGTATGTTAATATTATGTAAATATTATGTAAATAGTATGTAAATATTATGTAAATATTATGTAAATAGTATGTTAATAGTATGTAAATAGTATGTTAATAGTATGTAGATATTTTGTAAATATTATGTAAATAGCACGTAAATAGTATGTTAATATTATGTAAATTGTATGTAAATATTATGTAAATGGTATGTAGATATTATGTAAATATTATGTAAAAAGTATGTAAATATTATGTAAATATTATGTAAAAAGTATGTAAATAGTATGTGAATAGTATGTAAATACAAGTAAATATTATGTAAATAGTAAGTAAGCACATTAATGAAATGATTTAACAAACTTAAGCTTGAGATGAGACTCCTTAATTTTTAGAGTTTTCCGAAATATTGAGGTACATAAAGAGAAATTTTAAGATAATCAAAATAGAAATTTTGTGGCAATAAATAGATATTTCAAAATAATTAATAGATATTTCAAAATAATAAATAAATATTTCAAAATAATAAATAGATATTTGAAGACAACATATTCAAAATTTTGTGGTAATAGAAATTTTGTGATAAATATAAAATACATAGCCTTGATATGATTTAGTAACATACATAAATAATTAACTGTTCTTTCAATCACTACGCTAGTTGTCTTAGTGCTGTTGCCTCCTGTCCTCACAGTTACCAGCATAACACCTTGCCACTTACAGGGGTATCTACATGAGGTTTAGATCAGACACACACACAAAGTTGTCGTCATTTTCCATGTAAGTCGATATTTTACTCATGAGAATCAACACCTCCGTACAATGTATGTACAATATGTATGTTTTGTATATCATATCCTACTACCACGGGGTTTTACCTCACGTGACATCGTCCAAATTAATTTATCACACAAGTTTTTAAAGTGTTGGTACGTCATACAGAGGTACATTGCTTACATACACAGTGATATCTTTTATATTAATAACGACTAATTATCTCGGTTACTCGACATGTTATCTGAAGCACTAGACTAATTATCTCGAGTGTTCGACATGTTATCTGAAGCACTATACTTATTATCTCGAGTGTTCGACATGTTATCTGAAGCACTAGACTTGTTATCTCGAGTGTTCGACATGTTATCTGTAGCACTAGACTTGTTATCTCGAGTGTTCGACATGTTATCTGAAGCACTAGACTTGTTATCTCGAGTGTTCGACATGTTATCTGAAGCACTAGACTTGTTATCTCGAGTGTTCGACATGTTATCTGAAGCACTAGACTTGTTATCTCGAGTGTTCGACATGTTATCTGAAGCACTAGACTTGTTATCTCGAGTGTTCGACATGTTATCTGAAGCACTAGACTTGTTATCTCGAGTGTTCGACATATTATCTGAAGCACTAGACTTGTTATCTCGAGTGTTCGACATGTTATCTGAAGCACTAGACTTGTTATCTCGAGTGTTCGACATGTTATCTGAAGCACTAGACTTGTTATCTCGAGTGTTCGACATGTTATCTGAAGCACTAGACTTGTTATCTCGAGTGTTCGACATGTTATCTGAAGCACTAGACTTGTTATCTCGAGTGTTCGACATGTTATCTGAAGCACTAGACTTGTTATCTCGAGTGTTCGACATGTTATCTGAAGCACTAGACTTGTTATCTCAGTGTTCGACATGTTATCTGAAGCACTAGACTTGTTATCTCGAGTGTTCGACATGTTATCTGAAGCACTAGACTTGTTATCTCGAGTGTTCGACATGTTATCTGAAGCACTAGACTTGTTATCTCGAGTGTTCGACATGTTATCTGAAGCACTAGACTTGTTATCTCGAGTGTTCGACATGTTATCTGAAGCACTAGACTTGTTATCTCGAGTGTTCGACATGTTATCTGAAGCACTAGACTTATTATCTCGAGTGTTCGACATGTTATCTGAAGCACTAGACTTGTTATCTCGAGTGTTCGACATGTTATCTGAAGCACTAGACTTGTTATCTCGAGTGTTCGACATATTATCTGAAGCACTAGACTTGTTATCTCGAGTGTTCGACATGTTATCTGAAGCACTAGACTTGTTATCTCGAGTGTTCGACATGTTATCTGAAGCACTAGACTTGTTATCTCGAGTGTTCGACATGTTATCTGAAGCACTAGACTCGAGTGTTCGACATGTTATCTGAAGCACTAGACTTGTTATCTAGAGTGTTCGACATGTTATCTGAAGCACTATACTTGTTATCTCGAGTGTTCGACATGTTATCTGTAGCACTAGACTTGTTATCTCGAGTGTTCGACATGTTA